AAGACAAGTATCAGTATAAATCCATTTTACCAAAACTTTAATATTTAACATCTTACAAAGTCAGATATTTGCTCTCCTTACTCCCTGCTGTGTAATCTGACCAGCAGGCCTCGTATTTTTTCCCCTGGCTAGATTCTAGACCAGGAGCACAATAGCACTGTGTGTTCAGCTTCCAACAGTGTGGAGGATTGTTTCAGTCATACAGAACTTAAAAAACAAATACTGCATCTAGCTTATGTATTATTTCCTATATTTTTTTTCTGGCTGACAGAGGAAGGAAGTTAGGGAGAAAAATAAGCCAATTCATCAAAGAGAACCACTTTTCTAATTCTGAGTTTTAAAACTGCATTACATCAAGTCATGTTTGGTTAGGTCTCATAGGATTGCTCCTACAAAGAAAAAGTTTAACTATCTTATTCATTCACTGAAAAAGTCAATCTTATGACTCCCTGCCTTAAAATCCTTTAAATAGGACTGCAAACTCCAAGGAAAACAACTCTAATTTTCATAAAGGAACCTTCGCCATCAGGCATCAACTTACCTTCAAATCCACCTACTCACAGCTCTGCACCCCTCATGCTCTATCCACATTCCAATCTTCTCCATTCCTGGGGCACGTTATACTTTTTCGTGTCTCTCTGAATGTTTTTGCATATGTTGGTTCCCTTAGCTTGATGGTCTTTCTTTAAACACATTGAGTTCCAATGTCACCTTTTTGAAGGACATTTTCTTGAATCATATAAAGGGTCAGTCGCTCCCCCTTTTCTATTCTCCAAACATGTATTACATACCTCTTCTACGACATGTGTCATGCATAGTCACTGCTTCTAGATGTCTATGGTAGAAACAAACTAACACATCCTTTGACGCAGGAATATTAAAAGTTTTTAGGACTGAGTCTGGTGAATACAGATATATTTTCTGTCTCTAAGCATGTCAATGCTCAAACCAGAAGTCATGTGATCTAATATGTGATCATTATTGTTCAGCTCAAGGGTATTATCATAGAGCAAACAATAATTCACAAAATTTAACTCTTGGTTATAGATTTTTAAATGCAGGTCAACTTCTAATTATCCAGTTGAATTTAGAAAGAAATTGCATGTGTATAAATATATAAGTAATTCTCACACTTTAATTTATGCCCGGGTTTTCTACCCCTTCAAATCAAGCTTTACAAGAACTATTAAAGGAAACATTACTAAATTGTTACATTTTATACTTCTTCTTTCTTTTCCCACCTCTCCAGGGGAGGTCAGAGTTAAATGCCTTATATGCAAGGGGGAAAAAATAAGAAAAACATGTATACTCTCAATACATAGCAAAACATCTTAAATCATTTTTCTTCATCTTGCCACAATTTCCTCCATGCAGACAATCTGTTCCCCAAATTTCTTGGTCTCACACTCCAAAAATCCATCTGTTTTCTTCTTTTCCAACAGAGCCCCATAATTCTCAATCCAAATAATTTCTTTTTTTTTAATTTATTAACTTGAGAAAAAGGGGGGGAGAGGGAGAGAGAGAGAGATTTGTTGTTCTACTTATTTGTGCATTCACTGGTTGCTTCTTGTATGAGCCCTGACTGGAGACTGCACCCCCAACCTTGGTGTATCGGGACAATGCTCTAACCAACTGGGCTACCCAGCCAGGGCCCAAACCATTTCTAGGGCCAAACCACTTCTTGAGCTCATCGGTAGACTCCAGTCTTCTTACCCTCTCTCCTTAGGCTCAGTTCCTTATCATTGTGATCAACTTGGCTTCTCAGGCCAATGGGAAGAAACTCATTACTCAGATTCTGCTCAACAAGGGAGACCAGAAAGTAGTAAGCAGAATATTTACTCTTTAAAAGATAATTCAGGAGAAGAAACAGAGAACCCTACGAATATTTATAATGAACTTATCTTATATTCCTGCTCATTTAGCTTTAAATTTGCAAACAGGAAAGGTCTATGAATATTAGAAATGTATTCATTCATTCAGCAAATATTAATGAAATACCCAGTATATATCAGTCCCCAGTTTAGACCCTAGAGATATAGCAGTAAACCACACAACAACAAACAAGCATTTCTATAACATGCTAGATGTTATAAAGTGCTATACGGAAAATAAAGCTGAGTAAAGGAGATAGATGGTGCTGTTGGGTGAGGGGCTGCTATTATTTGTAAAGAGTTCAAGGAAAGCTTCCCTGGGCAGATGACAGTTAAGTAGAGATACGAAGGGAGTGAGGCACACAGATATTTGGAGGATTAGCATTCCCAGCAAAGGATAAAACTACAGAAATCCTAACAGGAGCTTAGTCGATGTGTTCACGGGGAAAGAGGGCAACACAGATACAAGTGAATGAACTGGGAGGAGCGTGTCCGGCATTGAGGTCGGGAGTTCACAGGTCAGGACAGGCAGGGCCTTGCCTATCGTTGGGAGGACAGATGCTTTTCCTTGGATGGAGGTGGAATCCACTGCAGGCTGGTGAGCAGAGGAGAGACAAGGATCTGTTTTCCATTTTTAAGGGAGCACTCAGGCTGCTGGGTAGAGACTTCAGAAGGCCAAAGGTAGATAAGACGCTACTGAAATAACCCAAGGAAAAGTTGTGTGTGGCTAGAACCAGGGTAGGAGTAGTGGAGGCATTAAGATAATGGCCAGTTTGATATCTCTTAAAGCAGGATTTACCAACAGATTTACTGTGTGTAAGAAAAAAGATTCAAGTAAGACTAAGGTGTTTGGCCTAAGCATAAATAAATGTTATATAATGACATGCAGATGAATGAGCCCATGGCAAGTAAATGTTGTTATTTTTTCTTTAGATTTTTAAAAAAATCTTGTCTGTATTCATTCTCTAAAAAGGGAAACCAGTCGTTTTCCCTGGGCCAGGTTTTCATAATCACCATGTAGAATGACCAACCTCCATGATGAACACTATTTTTCTCATCAAAGGTGTTTTACTTTTGCCTGTTTCAACATAGGACCAACCAACTACAGGCCCTGGGTTAGCTGGAGGAAAGCCACCTTAGAAGAGTCTGATCTAAGGAGGGCTCACCAGGTACTGTGGAAGGGGGTCAGTGAGACAACATTGAAATCAGGGTGAAGACCTTTAAAAATATGTTTCAGACCCATAAAAATTAGCTCCCTGTTTTATAAAGAAGAAAGAGCACAGCGAATAAAGATGATAGATCAGATGGAGATAGGGATGGATAGGTCTAAGAGCACCTAGGAAAAGGCCATTTTATTTTCGGAATGAATGTTGTCCTAATGTCTAAGGAGAGTTGGTCAAATTTAAATCTTAATTTTGGATGATAATTTAAATTACATATAGTTTGGAAACATTTCAGAGACAATAATATCATTCTGCAAAGACAGAACAGTACTTCCTATTGAGTCATCCATCGCAATCTATTTTTCACTGTTCAGTTTTCGTGTGAGTTTGCCTACAAGCATAGGTTTTAAAGAGGAATCTTCAAGTCGTTAAAAAAAGCTAAAGCTTCTACAAACTTTTATAAAACTTTTACACATGTGTACAAAATATGTATATTTAAAATTTTTTCTAAGGCCATAAAAGAACCCAGTCATGTGGGCAGGAAGTACTCACTACAGTACTGTCTTCTCAGATTAAAAACCTTCAGAAGCGACTTCTGAAGCCACATCTTTGCAGCAGCGGTCACTCTGTACAGGGAGCTGTGTACAATTGCAGAAAATTCTAGTAGCAATTCATCCTTCCGCTGAGAGCTGCCTTCCAAGAGGGAATATTAATTCTCTCTCAACATCCCTGACTGTTTGAAGATGGAATGAAAAGGGACAGGAGCTGTTTCAGGGAACAAAAGAACCTGACTCATGGAGAAAGTATGGAGAAGTACTTCCCTTTTACCACATTAAAAGATGCTCATATTTAGAGTGCAGTGATGAACCACGGAGAGATCGTGTAAACCTTGGAGCTTATGCAAGAATGGTGGAACCCCTGGCAAAGGAATCGAGACTCCTGCCTGGATGACGGAGGAAGCCAGGGAGGCATGGACAGGGCTGCTCAATCTCTAGCCCAGGCTAGAGCCTGGGACGAGAGCCAGCCCAGACCACGCAGCTGCAGGCTGCAGTGCAGTGACCAACCCCACCCTCGGGCTTCCACACAAAGTATAAGCCCCTCTGAGGCCGAGAGAGGGAAAGTGACACCACAAGCAAGAGACTCTCGGTAAATCTGTACACTGCCTGTTCCAAGCTCAGTTCATTTTGTTTAGCAGTGTGGACATTCTTCAGGAAGGTTTGCATCCATGCAGAAACGATGGGAAAACAGTTACACAAAACAAACCCATTTCAGTTTTTAAAAATATTTTTAGCAGAGATTTCCTGTCACATGATTCCATTTCTACCACACAGTAGCATTTCATTCCTCTTTTAAAAAGAATCAATTTCTCATTAATAGACTGTAGAATATTGGAGGAAAAAACAGTTAAATTGTTAATACCACTAACAATTTAACAAATCCATGCCGGTGCTACAATGTTATCTCACAAGGAAAAACAAGTCACGCCCACTCCCCTGAACTTTGCTAAAACAAGGACATTGCGACTTTTTTGTTTATGTTTGAACAGAACAGTGCTCCAAGCAGTGGAGCTAGAAAAAGATTAGTGGTAAACATTTCTTAGCTTTGTGTAACACCAGAAACAGAAGGAAAAACGAACACTTGCCTCTTTCTCTGCGTTCCTCCTTTCAATGACTGAACTTTCAAACTTTTCTCAATGTTGCTAAAAGAATGAGTCAGAGGAACAGACGACTAAACACATTTGTATTTCACAAGCCCAAAAGAAGCCTCCTGGAAGAGCCAACCCCCACGAACACAGAACATACTTTTAATGCTGAAGTTGAAAAATAACGTGAACCTTATTCTTAACTTTAAAACAAACCAAACTGCCACTGTGATGTCCCTCAGCATGCTGACTTAAAAACTGACCCACACATCTGAAGGGGGGGGGAACCAAGAGAAAGATACACTAGAAAATGAAACTACTTACCTTGGTCAGTGGACATGATTTCATATATATTGATTATTAGCCTACTCTGGTTTGACAAGAAAATATTTGGCTTCACTCTTTTAAAGTTCATGTGATAGAATCTCACTCCTGGCTTTGAAGCCGCTGGTAGACTGGAGATCACACACATCAGCCAGGAGCTCTGACCGGAGCACTTTGTACTTCAAGGCATTCTCAGACCTCGCAGCTCTCAGACACCCTCATGCATAATATGACACACCTCCCAGAGGAAGGGCTGCTGCAGTGTTTCATGAGACCAAGTATAGGAGGAGGGAAAGAATGCTATTTATTACAGCAAAATAAACAACAACGGAGGCACACGGAAGCTTCAAATACACTAAAAATACATTTGGGAATAGGATGGTTTAGAAACTAATTCCTTAACCATTAGTAATGGTCTAAAAAAGCAGGCATGAAAATTGTTTTGTTTCCACTGTAACTGGGTACAAAGGTTACATATTCAGGATTCATAGGCTTAAGATGTTACAGTGTCATTTTGTGTGATCTCAAATGTTATTTTGCTACTTCTGACTTTCCATTTTAGCACAGCTCATGGATCTTAGTGAATCAATACTGCGCAGAGTTGAATAAATACTTCTCGTGACATTTCCTAAGGAAACCAAGGTCCATATGTTATTGCAGAGCACTGTTTAACTGGTGAGATATTTATTATTCCTTTTGTTGTTGTTGTTAATCTTTACCTGAGGATATTATTTCCATTGATTTTTTTCTTAAAATATATCTTTATTGATTTCAGAGAGAGGAAAGGAGAGGGAGAGAGAGAGATAGAAACATCAATGATGAGAGAGTCATTGATCGAGCCCACAACCCGGGCATGTGCCCTGACCAGGATCGAACCCCGGTCACCTGGATCTCAGGTTGACGCTCAACTGCTGAGCCACACCTGGCTGGGCTCCATTGATTTTTAGAGAGAGTGGAAAGGAGGAAGGGAGGGAGGGGAAGGGAGACACATCAATTTGTTGCCTCCCACAGGAACCCCGACTGGGGCAGAGATTGAACCTGCAACCCCGGTATGTGCCCTTGACTAGGAATCAAAACCTCGACCCTTTGGTGTGTGGGCCGATGCTCCAACCACTGAGCAACACCTGCCAGGGCTATTAATCCTTTGTGTATATCTTGTAAGCTTATATCATTTAACCAGTACCTTAAAATTTTCTCATAGCCATAAAAATTAGAAAAATATCAATTAAATTATTTATAAAATCACAGTGAAGTAACTCAGGTATAGACATCACCCTAGTGTTTTAAAATGAACTCTCTACTCTCCTCAGTGTGACCAATGCAGCGGTTCTCACACTGCAGCGTGCTGTGCATCAGGTCACTTGGATGGCATTGTAACATACATAGCCTGGTCCCAGCTCCCCCAGAATTTGTATTTCTCACAAGCTCCCAGGGGTCCCTGACCCTGCTGATCCAGGACTGTATTTCAAGGACCACACTAGGAGAACCACTGCGGCAGAGATTTGCTTGTGTGAAGTGGTGAACTCACTCACCGATGGCCTAAAGCTCTGGCTCAACTGCACCTGTTTAGGAACTGCTTAATGTCAGGACAAGAGGTCAAGGCTGAGGGTGAGGTATGGGAGGGACTTATGTATACATTCAAATGGGGTGCACAGTTACTTTTACCTGCTCATCAGGAAATGGGGTTATCAACTCGACAATTTATTATTTTATTTTTCAGTTGCAGTATACATTCAGTATTATTTTATATTAGTTTCAGGTGTACAGAATAGTGGTTAGACAATCATATAGTTTACAAAGTGATCCCCCCGATATTTCCAGTACCCACCTGGTGACATACATAGTCATTATAATATTATTGACTATATTCCCTATGTTATACTTTATATCCCTGTGACTATTTTGTAACCACCAATCTGTACTTCTTAATCCCTTTACCGTTTTCACCCAGCCCCCAACCGTCCTCCTCTGGCAACCATCAATTTGTTCTCTGTATCTTTGAGTCTGTTTGTATTTTGTTTGTTTATTTTGTTTTTAGGTTCTACATCTAAGTAAAATCATACGGTATTTGTCTTTCTCTGTCTGACTTATTTCACTTATCATAATACCCTCTAAGTCCATCCATGCTGTAGCAAATGGTAAGTTTCATTCTTTTTTAATGGCAGAGTAATTAATAGTCCATTGCATCCATGTACCACAATTTTTTATCCACTTGTCTATTGATGGGCACTTGGGTCACTTCCATATCTTGGCTATTGTAACTATTGCTGTATAAAACATAGGGGTGCACATATCTTTTTGAATTAGTGTTTTGAGTTTTCTTTGGATATATACCCAGAAGTGGAATTGCTGGTTCATTATCAACTTCATAATTCTTAATAAATTTGTTTGCATATTAGGCATGAATAGGTTTTAAAACTAATCTAAAAATAATAGACATTAGAGAAAAGGAGTCAAGAGAAGAAACTTGAATTGTCTTTTATTTTCTTCAAAAACTCTACCCGTGTGTTTAAATTTCACTGTGGCAGGAAAACTGTTTATATGTGATTTCAATACCACTTAGCCTTGGCAAATTTCAGTAATGTAAAAAACAGAAGGTTTTCCTGCCATAAAAATGCCCCAACTTCTGTACTTCCTGAGTTTGATAGCAATGTTTAAATTACAATCTCGGGTTTTCAAAGGAATACCATTTCTTTTTTACAGCTAACATTTACTTTGTGCCAGGTGCTACGTTGAGCACTTTCCACACAGCATTTCAGTAAATCCTCAGTGTAAGGCAATAATAATTCATCGCTATTTTGCAGAAGAGAACCACTCTTCTACAAAAGGTATAATACAGGTAAGATAAGGAGTAATAATTTATTAGCATTTTCAGAAAACTAAGTTTAAGAGGGTAAAAATCTTGGCCCATAACGCTAGTAAAACAACCTTTAAGAAATTTAATTCACTTTAACACAACAAATTAAGATATAATGGAATCTACTTTGGAATCATTATAAGTGAAAACTAGAAAACCAAAACATGATTTACAGCTAAAAAGTTTTAGTTAAGATAAACTCAACTATTACCATGACTCTCACTGTCCACAGGTGAATGATCTTGTATTGTATTCAGCCTCTACCACAAACTTGTAACTAAATTCCAAGCTTCCCACTAGTAGCCACAGCAGTTTTTATAAAGTTAAACATGCATTTCCTTATGACCCAGAAATCACATTCCTAGGATACTGACCCAAATGAAATGAATGCTAACATTGATACAAAAACCTATACATGAATGTTTACGGAGACTTTATTCATAATCACCGAAACCTGGAAATACCCAATTGTCCTTCGATCAGCAAATGGATAAGCCAACTGTGTTAAATCTATACAAAGGCATAGCACTCGGCAATAACAAGGAATGAGCTATGGACACTCGCATGTACATTAAAAAGAAGTCAACTTAAAGGCTACATAGATATGATTCCATTTGCAGATGACATAATACTGTGTATAAAGGACCCTAAAGATTCAACCAAAAAACAACTAAAACTGAAAAATAAATTCAGTCAAGTAGCAGGATACAAAGAAAATATCCAGAAATTGGTTGCATTTTTATATGCCAATAATGAATTATCCAAAAGAGAAACTAAGAAAACAATCCCAGCCTGGCCGGCGTGGCTCAGCAGTTGAGCATCGACCTATGAACCAGGAGCTCGATGACTCTCTCTCATCATTGATGTTTCTCTCTCTCTCTCTCTCTCTCTCCCTTCCTCTCTCTGAAATCAGTATAGATATATTTAAAATAATGATGATAATCATCTTGAGAAAATTCTAAATGACCTAATTAGCTTCCCACACAAGGCCCTTTTGTGAATATAGAAGTTTATGATAGTATAATTAAAAGGACCTTTCAAATAAATGGTTAGGTAATTTAGTAAAATATTATTTGTTTTAGGTATCAGTCCTGAAAAATAATCTAAAATCTATGCTAACCAACTCACAGTTATTCACAAAATACCCTGTGCACTCAAGACTCAGTGGGCTGTCACCTTGCTCGTATGCTTCTCCTCCTAGTAGAGCAGGTTATTTTTTTACAAACTCTGTTGAATAAAGAACTTAGAAGGTTCTGCCAAACATTCACATAGTATTTCATAACCACTTGGATTTTTTTTCATTATATTGCACTTAGTTTACTCTTTACTAAAGGCCATCTGCATTATTTTCAATAGCCTACCAGTTCTAATAGAAATAATCTAAAATAAAAATTTGCAACCTGTGCTTCCTGAATTAAAATGTATTAATCTACAATGTTTTTAAAAAAGGTGGTATGGGGGGTAAGAGGACTATGTTCTCTGCTTCCCCATTTTTATTAAAGCTACCTGGCACACCACCTGTCATGTAATTGAAAACTTCCGTGCACAAATGACAAATTTGGCTTTAATAATTATTTACTCAGACACATTTTGGCAATGAAATAACAGGACAATTATATCAAGTGAATGTTAATATTTCACTTTGTTCAGACAGAACAAGAAGTAGGAAAAATAACTGGCATACTTCTGACTTTCAGTTATCAACTAAGAAGGAAAATTTTCAGCCTGATTCCCCATGTTGTTGAATTGGAAGGCAGTCTCCATCTTTATAGAATGAAACATTTTGCATTAACCCATTTTGCACTCGTTAGTCTTCTAATAACAATCTAATAAAATCAAATAACAATTTGGTATTAAAATGATTCCCTTATTGGCTTAAAAAACACACAGCTTAATTTTAAAAACCAACCAATTGATGCATAATTTTCATTTTGCATGTCTGTAAGCCTTACTGACACGGGGCCTGGAAATTCTTGAATACACGCCAGGTAAATCCTGTTGCTTGAATACTTTTGTACCAAACTATTTTTATGCAGATCTTCAAAGCAAGCCTATTATCCCTGAAGCTCTATACTTTTTGTAAAACTTAATGTAAATGTTTTATATTAAAATTTTAGTTATATGTTAGTTACAGTCCCAACCACATAGTACAGTTAAAGTAGACAATAACCCTGAACCTAGGTTTTCTGGATGGATAACAACATAATCCTAGATTAAACTGCTGCCCATTGTGTTCAAATTCCACTCCATTATTACTTTGGAAGCCCATGGAAAGCTACACATCTTTCTAATGACATGTAACTAGGGACAGTTTGTATATTTTACATATATGACTTAGGAGAAGAAACCTTATATCTGAAATGTTATCTGATTTTAATAATTCTCTTCTAATAAAAAGTATATAACCCTAGCAAATAAAATCACTCTTTCCTAGCCTAAATTATAATTTATAGCCTGTGTGGTCTTATGTACATAGATTTCTTGCACCATGCACTCATTTCACAT